AGCACGAGTGGAGGTATTCCTGTATTTCGTATCACTTTTACAAAGATATACAATAAGTGCCGAAAACGAAGAGAGATTCACATTAGAGGACAAATTTGGGCTAACATTACAGCCAAAGGAATCGTTTAGTCTTAGATTTCATAAAAGGCTTTAAACTATTATTGATATAAATTGTTTGAATAGTTTTAAAAATTAGATAATCTTATTATAAATTGTAAAATTTAAAATGAATTAAGTACTGAACAAAATATTCTGTACAAAATCTCGATTAATAATAATTACAGCATACCTCCTTGCGTGTGATTTTTGATATTTACAGTTGTAGTTATTTGGCAATTTATTCTTACAAATAATTGTCTTAATTATATAGAATTGAATTTATTTTTATTCAAGGACGGTATGATATCAACTTAACCTTGATAATATATTGTTAAGAATTATTATTGCATTAATGTAACCATTCATATAATCTTTTCCCAATCATATTATTTGAATTTTTCAATGTATGCAAAACATCACTAATATTTTATAAGAATAATTACGTTATTATTTGATAAAATGTTGTACTGTAATTATTTTCATTTTTTAATTATTAATAAAAACTACATAATGTACTAATCTAGTTGTAAACTTACTAAACTACACACTCGAGTATTTTTAGTAAAATATTTGACAAATTTTTGAAGACTTTAAATAATAGCCTATTATTAATATGTAGAGTAAAATTGAATACAAGCTGTGGTACCAATCATTGAATTATTCAATTTGAATATTATATTGATATTAAAAGCATTAGAAGTAGTGTTCCCAGAAGGTCAAGGAATTCTTTGATTGTCAAGGAAATAGGATTTTAGACAAGAGTCAATGCGAGGGACATTCCTTCATATGGAAGGGTCAACACATTTTTATAAAAATATCAGGGAATGCCCAAAAATAGTTGTCGTAAAATCAATTTATCAAGAAACTTGAAATTTTGACCTGGGAACACTAATTAGAAACTTATATTTTGCTATTTATTGAAAGTACTGATAAACATGTACATCAATTACCTTGAAAATTCAAGTGATGCAATACCGACCTGAGATCTGTCTAATTCACGTGTTTATTTTATTCAAATTATTAACTTTGCACTTATTGCACCTCATTATTAATGTTACTAATAAAACAAACATTATCATTTAATTATCTATACATTATTAGTTAGTTTTATCATGATGAGCATCTCTCTCTCCCGCTTTCATATATAAACTAGGAACATTTTACTTAAAATTTATTTTACATTCAAAACTTTAAACTTTAGTTCTGTTTACGAGTTCTTATTTTGAAATGTCTTCAATGCTATTGTTGTTTGAATATGTGTTGGAAAACACATTTTTCTTAATATTTTTGATACTGTTTGTGGTTTTATTAAGACATGTATTGAGCACTTATGCAAATCGACTGAGTCTACCGTCGGGTCCAATAGGTGTACCACTGGTCGGATACCTGCCATTCCTCGGACGACAACCGCATAGAGATATCGCAAAATTGAGTGAAAAATACGGAAACGTTTTTACGTAAATATTTATTATATTAATATAATTTTATAATTAGTTTTTTAAATATAAGACTATTTTTATTTATTAATTTTCACGTTAATCAAAATTATTTGTAATTACAATAATTTTCGATTGTGTGAAATACATATAGATTGCAATTAGGAGTCCATAATATAGTTATTCTCAATGATTGGGAGGCAGTAAAGGATGCCTTTCAAAAGGACGCCTTCTTAGACCGACCCAAAGACAGTCCATTTGTTATCGTAGACGTCGATAGCAGTAATTATTATAATTAAAAATTAATTATTTGTTAGTTAAAAGTCATTAATTTTAAAAGGCTTTGGCGATGATAATGGGCTCTTATGGAAAGAGCACCGGAGGTTTGCGTTACAAGCGATGCGAGACTTAGGGTTTGGAAAGGGAAGTATGGAGGATAGGATTGGCGATGAGATCTCACATTTCACTAAACTTATTGATGAAACCAATGGCCAGGGATTCAATTTCCATAAAATTCTGACTCCGAGTATGTCTAACAATATCTGTCATCTGGTATTTGGACACCGGATGGACTTCAATGATCCCAAACGTATTATATTTGATAATATGTTGGATACACTCGCGAAACAGTTCTCAATGCTCGGAGTTTTGTCTTTATCTCCCCTTTGGTTCTGTAAATTAATTTTAAAATTGGGAGCATTTGGTAATACAGGATTTAAGACCATAATTGGAATTTTTGAGTATAAATTTGTATTCATTTATAAATTAATATTTGTTAACAAATTTACTGTTTTTATAGTAAGGAAATAGAGTCACACCAGAAGACTTTGGATCCAAACAATAATCGTGATTATATCGACGGATTCCTCAATGAAATGAAAATCAGACAACAAAAGGATCCCAACACTAGTTTCACGAGTTAGTAAATGCTTAATATATTAGTTATAAAATGTGAAAATTTAGTGAAAATGTTTGTCATTTAAATTCATTCAATCTGTGTTTTAGTTAATAAATTATCAGCGAATAGCAGAGCCTTCTTTGGTGCGGGCAGTGAAACAGTGCGGACAACAGTCGAGTGGTTAGTATTATTGGCCGTAAAACACAAAGACATTCAAAAGAGATTACACGAAGAGATCGATGATGTGATCGGTAGAGACCGGAGCCCCACGTGGGCTGACAGGCTTGATATGCCTTATATTCAAGCATTCATTAATGAAGTGTTTCGTTGGAAAACTATTGCACCATTAAATTTAATGAGAAGGTAAATTGTATACAATATTTGCCTTTATAGAAAAGAACATTTTCTTACCAATTGTGTAATTAAAACAATAAATTTAATTTTAAATTATTTTCAAATAAATTTGTTTTCGTATAAACAGCGCTTCTGAAGATGCATATATTTTGGGTCATTTCATACCCAAAAACACCCGAATAATGGCTAATATATGGGCTGTCCATTACGACCCTAAAGTATGGGACAACCCTGATCAATTCAATCCCAATCGATTTTTAACACCTGATGGCAAACATTTGATTAAAACCGAAGCTTTGATACCATTTTCTTACGGTATGTTTTGCTTAATTTTTAATTAATTTGTGTTTTTATAGTAATATTTAATAATTATTTTCTAACATTATTTGTATTTAAAGGTAAACGCAATTGTGTTGGCGAGACATTAGCACGAGTGGAGGTATTCCTGTATTTCGTATCACTTTTACAAAGATATACAATAAGTGCCGAAAACGAAGAGATGTTGTCATTAGACGATAGATTTGGGCTAACATTACAACCGAAGGAATCGTTTATTCTTAGGTTTCAAAAACGATTTTAATCAATACAATCATTTAAATTTTGTGATTTTTATTAAATTAATAAACTTCTAATAAAATCGTACTACTTAATGTAATATCAATATTAAATTCTGCATTTATTATATAATATATTTTGTATTGAATAAATTTGGCAACAAATATTATTTTACAAATTTTTGATTAAATACTATTATAATTTGACAAAATAATATGCTTACTATTAAATATTTTTCGTTAGACCTAAAGTTCTGTTCATACATTATAATAGTAATCATAGAGAATAATGTATATAAAATTACTTTAAAATTATGTTAAAATAAGTTTGGCTCAAATACTAAAATAATCATTAAATTAGGAAAATTAATAACATGATTATTTTAAATAGTCAACCTTAATGCTGTAATTATAACTTGTATGCGAATACAGAGGACTTGCACTTAAGTTTAGTACAATGAGTTGAAATTAAGTTGAAAACGATAAGTAAAATTTCTTAATTGTAATTTTGTTGTAAATTTAAGACAGTGAAACCTCAAAATAAGGTACGACCAATTGCACAGCATATGTATACTTCTTTTATCCGTAATACTTTACAGATAAAATCGATATTACTAATAATCAAAGGGTGTCTAATGTATGCATTTTCTAAATACTTCGCTATTAATTATCACAAAAATGGTTATAATATAAAGTTTTACCTCGTTGTTCATTTTGCTGTATTACTTGTCTGACAAGGTTAATTTGATAACTGTTTCTATCACATCATGATATTATTTGTATTTTATATAAATACAGATTCAGTTTAAAATGTTTGTCTATTAAATAAAATTATAATAAATAATAAATATAAAGAATTTAGAAACATAAATTTTAATATGTTTTTATTACAATTGCTATTTAGATATTTGTTTGAAAATGTATTGTCTGTAATATTATTTATATTACTATTTATATTATTTCAGCATATATTCAGTACTTATAAGGAACGCCTGAGTCTACCGTCGGGTCCAATAGGTGTACCACTGGTCGGATACCTGCCATTCCTCGGACGTGAACCACATAAAGATATCGCAAAATTGAGCGATAAATACGGAGGAGTTTTTACGTAAGTTTTAGCATTTATATTTATAATTACAATAACTATTAATTGAATGGAAAAAACTATAGTAATTGTGTATTAAATATACAAATAGATTACAATTAGGAGTTTATAACACAGTTATAGTGAATGATTGGGAGTCAGCAAAAGATGCTCTTTTAAAGGATTCTTTCTTAGACCGACCAAAAAACGGTCCGTTCACTCTCGCAGACAACTCTATCAGTAATATATCACATATACTTTATGCGTATACTATATACTCATTCAAATCAAATTCACTTCACCATAAGGTCTCATTGACGATAGCGGACAAGAATGGAGAGATCACCGGAGGTTTGCGTTACAAACACTTCGAGACTTAGGGTTTGGAAAGGGAAGTATGGAGGATAGGATTGGCGATGAGATTTCATACCTCATTAAACTTATCGATGAAACCAATGGCCAGGGATTCAATTTCCATAAACTATTGGTCCCGAGTATGTCTAATAATATCTCTCATCTGGTATTTGGACACCGGATGGACTTCAATGATCCCAAACGTATTATATTTGACGATTTGTTGGATACCGCGGGTCCATTGTTTTCATTGTTAGGACTATTTGCTGTCTCTCCCGTTTGGTTCAGTAAAATAATCTTAAAAGTCGGAGCAATGGGAATGTCAAAGAAATTTAAAACTGTTATTGATATATTTAAGTAATACTTATTTTATATAATTTTATATTTTATTTGTAATTATAAATCGATATTTTAAAAGTAAGGAAATAGAGTCACACCAGAAGACAATGGATCCAAATAATAAACGTGATTATATGGACGGATTCCTCAATGAAATGCAAAAGAAACAACACACTGACTCCAACTCTAGTTTCACATGTAAGTCATGATTTAAAAATTAAATTTACGCAAAATATTGAGTGCTTTAATCACAGAATATAATTAATATTTTAGTTGAAAAGTTATCGACAAACAGCCGAACATTTTTTGGTGCGGGCAGTGAAACAGTGCGGACAACAGTCGAGTGGTTAGTATTATTGGCCGTAAAACACAAAGACATTCAAAAGAGATTACACGAAGAGATCGATGATGTGATCGGTAGAGACCGGAGCCCCACGTGGGCTGACAGACTTGATATGCCTTATATTCAGGCTTTTACTAATGAAGTGTTTCGTTGGAAAAATATTTTACCGCTAAATGTTTTACGAAGGTAAATGTATTTTAATAAATAAATATTAAATTTAATTGTATTTATTTAATCTTTAATTAAATATATTATATTTTATGTAACATAATATTAATACATTAATAGCGCTTCTGAAGACTCGTATATTTTGGGACATTTTATACCAAAAGATACCCGAATTTTAATCAACTTATGGGCTGTTCACCATGATCCCAAAGTATGGCAAAAACCTGAACAATTTAATCCAAATAGATTTATAACAAGCGATGGGAAGAATTTAATTAAAACCGAAGCTTTAATACCATTTACCCTAGGTATATTTCTGACAAAAATATTATGCATATATTAAAAACATATAAACTCACATAAATTGTATCTAAAGGTAAACGCAATTGTGTTGGCGAGACATTAGCACGAGTGGAGGTATTCCTGTATTTCGTATCACTTTTACAAAGATATACAATAAGTGCCGAAAACGAAGAGAAATTCACATTAGAGGACAAATTTGGGCTAACATTACAACCAAAGGAATCGTTTATTCTTAGGTTTCAGAAACGATTTTAAACAATACAATGATTCACATATTGTCTGCAATTATTTGCATAAATAGATAAATATTCCACAAAAATTGTTACTTTGATTAAATTTAATCTAAATATTGTTTACAACACAACAAATCTTATACATAATTTGCATTGTATTATAATATATGACTTAACATTTAAACGTATGTTTAAAATAAATGATTAAAATTAAAAGGAATTTATTGTTTTATTAAAATGTTAGCATTTATTATTAAAAAAATTTAACAGAATTTAAACTATATAAATTTTATTAAATTTTCATTAAGTTCAATTAAAATTCTTATCATTATTTATTTATCAATTTAAAACTTGCAAATATATCACTAGTTATACTTTAAATTACAAACCATATGGCTTTTTATTCCCATATAAAAACACATTTTTATCAATTCTTCAGTTAATAATAAATAAAAATTTTCAAAACATAAGTTCAACGGATTTTATCAATATTTCACATATTGTACTAAACTTTTTCATATATTAATATCGTACGAGTATTACATACAGTGTATAACTAATATCCAGATACAATTAATCTATTCAATTCTGTACAAACTCTGGACTTTAGAGTTAGGGTTTGATATCAGCACTCAAAATGATATGAAAATTAATTTCACGCATAAAACTAAATATTAACAAAATTAAAATATTATTTTCTGTTTGGTTGTCACAGATCTGCTTCTATATAATATTTACTATAATTTGTTTGTATTTTCATATTTTTATTACATTTAATTTACTACAAAATGTTTTTTATGCAATCAGTGTTTGACTATGTGTTTGAAAACTTCAGTTCTCTCACATTATTTATACTATTTATTAGTTTAATAAGACATGTATTCAGTAATTTTAAGCTCCGAAAACATTTACCTGCGGGACCGGTAGGGCTACCAGTCGTCGGTTATTTACCATTTCTCGGCAGACAATCGTATAAAGATATACATAATTTGAGCCAACAATATGGTAACGTTTTTACGTAAGTTTCAATTGACAGTTAGCTTATCATAATATTATATGTTTAGCAATAGGTTAAAGAACTCAATCAATTAATAACAACACACAGTAAAGGATATTATTATTATCATATTATATTAGTTTATATTAAATATATACGGGAAATATTATTTAATGAATAATTTTCAATATACTTTTTATACAATAATTTTATTTTTAATTTGAATTGAAATGAAAGATTGCAATTAGGAATCCATAACGTAGTGATTCTTAACGATTGGGAGGCTGTGAGAGATGCCCTCCATAAGGATGCCTTCTT